TTCACCGCCGTAACGTGCAATACATTGAGCCGTGATCTGATGACAGAAACCAGACCGGCACCGATTTTACAGAACAGGCACCAAGGGCGATCTGCCGTCGTACCGTAAGCATCTTTCCTACCACCCGCATCGCGGCAAGATTCACAAGGACGAGGCAACTGAGAAGATCTTTCTTTTTCTTTGTATTTCTTTGCATTTATGCATTTCTTTCCGTAGTTCTGTACTTCATTTACTTTGAGAGTGACTTACATGCTCGATAGAAACGCTCGCTCACTTATGTTTATATTACGGAATTGAACCAGACTGTATTAAACTACTGCAATTCTTTTTATTTTAGGAAGATTTCTTAACTGAAACTCAATCCCTCATCCTGCGTGAAACGTCTCAGTACCTCACGGTACACGTTTTATTACTTTTTATTTTTCCTTTCCAGTTTATCCGAGTTGATTTTCCGAGATGGTCCTGATCCACATTAACTCGGATAATCGGGACTCAATTGTACTTAAACGTTAACACTGTTGTGGCCATTATCTTCTTTTACTTTATTTAATTTTTCTCTAATAAGGCAGAAAAGTAGAAAGGAGAAAGATTGTATTTATTTTGCTGAGTAGGGGTATATAGGGCGTTCTAACCCAGGAGCTCCGAGGGGGGAACGGGGCGCGGGGAGTACTCCGAGGCGAGGGGGAGTGTGGTGGGGAGGGTACTCCGTGGCGAGGAGACCGCGGGAGCACGCGGTCTTGACATCGCGCTAGGTGCTGACATGTCAAATTGCACGTGTTTGCGTTCTCTCTCGCTCCCACTGCTGTTCTCTCTCTCGCTCCCACTGCTGTTCTCTCTCGCTTTACTTAAATATTTTTAGCGCGAACACCTGGACGGGTGAGTCGCGGGATCAAGCGCCGAAACCTGGCTAGGATCATCCACGGCGCGGGGAGGGAGTCAAGCGCCGAAACTCGACGGATATTCGCTCGTGTTTGCGTTCTCTCTCTCGCTCCCACTGCTGTTCTCTCTCGCTTTACTTAAATTTTATGAGATCGAAGAGGATAGGAATAAAGAAAGGATAAAAAATGATTTTGAACAAATATATATATATTTTTCGTGATTTGGCAAAGTTGTAACGTGACAACAAAGAGCAACGTTGCTCCCCACCCTGCGCTCTTCCCCTGTCTCGTTTCTAACTCCCGCGCCCACGAACTTACTGTATAAAAGAGCCCGAGCGAGCCGAGAAAGGCAGACTCCTCCGACCAGCGAACTGAGCAGGTCGTCTCCCCGGAGAAGGCGTAGTGAGCCGGACCCGGTACCCCGATCCGCGCACTGAGCGGAATCACTCACCTAACCTAGCACGACACGAGTGTCTACCCCAGGCCGCGTATTGAGCGACCGCTTCCTCTCTTCCGAGGCACGAGTTGAGTGCCGATTCCACCACGGTTCGATGCGTGATGAGCACTAACCGGTAGAAGAATCCGCGAGCTGAGCGGCACCGGCAACACACCGACCTAACCTCCCGTTCCTCTCACACGCGCCGCGAACTGTCACCGGCAGCCGCGACACGCGACGCGACCGCCGACCCGCGCATGCGTCAACCGCGCGACCGAACCGAGCGTACCGCGCCCGCGCCGCCGAAACCGATACCAACATACCGCGCTCACGCCGCCGAAGCCGAACACACTCGAATCCCGGCCCGCGAATCACATAGTCGTAAATTCTCAGCAGCGCAGCGCGCCAGCATACAAGCTTAAAGATCGCCGCCGAAGCGGCCTTAGATTATAAGTGATAGTATTAAGTCTTCCGAGCGATAGTATTAAGTATTAGCATTAAGCATTGTAAGCGATAGTGTTAAGTAGTAGATGTAAGTACGTAGAACTTAGAATAAAATAGGAATTGCTGGAAATATAAGTGAGTCCTTCACTCTTCGACCAGCCCACCGACCGAACCTTGGAATCTCCAGGCTATCCGTAGCTCAAAAATTCCAACGTTACAAAGTTATAACAGCAAAAATGGGACAACATTTTTTAGACTTTGAAAACGATGTCGCAACCATTTGGCTGTACAACTATTTTGCTGTAATAATGTTGTAATAACCACACACTACAGCAGTCGGAATAAAGATAAACTAAAATTAGCGAAGAATATTTTTTTATATGTTAATTAATATTCAATAAAATATGCAATAAAAATTAAATTTTAATTCTAAATTGACAAAAAAATAAAAAATAAAAAATTTTTAATGTTTTAATTCAACGAGGAATGAACCGGGACAACCTGGAACTTTCACCAAACTTAAATGTAGATCATATTTATAAAAAAAATCAATTATTACTAATTAACAATCTATAATATACATATAAGTATATTAGCACGGACGCAAATTCATAAGTACACTGATTATAGAACTACATACAAATCCTTATATATTAATTTTAAAGCCGCATAAATGAACGCATGGGTCCGCTTGACCACCGCTGATACATGCTAAATATAACATAAAATTGATAGTCATAGCGATCCGATTTTAGTGTCTCGATTCTTCCCATGGTACAAAATGTGCCAGCAATGTTATCGTATCATGCATTGACCTCACGATTAGACAATGTGTCGTGGGATGAAAAATTTGCTGCATTCGATGTAACATAGAACTACTGCACGCCAAAAGAGCAGTATGCTGCAGAGAATGCATCGAGACGTATTTGGATTCCCCGTATTTTCTGAAAAGAAAAAATATATGCACATATATATATATTTTTTGTACATAAATATATTTTTTACATATTATAAAATTATACCTTCATAGTTGATAATATTTTATTTTTTAAATTCTTCTTGTAATCTCCGATTCATAGTTCATCCTTACGCGGTCTCGCACTCTGAGACCATCCTGCTTGTCCAAATACGTCTCGATGCATTGTTTACAGCATACTGCTCTTTTGGCGTGCAGTAGTTCAGTGTTACACCGAATGCAGCAAATTTTTTCCTCCCATGACACATTGTATAATCGCGAGGTCAATGAATGATACCGTGTTTTTTCGACATAGGAGTTTATCCCCCTAATCGGTCGGGCATTATAACATTGACGACACATTTTGTGCCATGGGAAGAATCGCGACACCATAATCGGGTCGCTTGATATTTGTTTCAGGCAGGTGCTCCGCAACAGCAACCAATACACGTCGACGTGATCCTGAGGTCTCACGCCATCGACGGGGCCCTCAGTTGCCAGATCGACTGATGGAGTCGGAGGTCTCATTTTTCTGTAAATAATTTTATTTATTTAATTTTATTTATTTAATATATGTTTTTTATTATTACAAAAAAAATGAATTTTTGTTTACCTCAAGTTTTTTTGGCCGCCTTCTCCAACACTTTTACAGACACTGGCACTTTTTTTACGGTTGAAATCGTAATACTGCCAACAGAATATCTTTATAACTTTTTTCTCAGTGTACTGAGTTATTAGCTCGGGAAATTTTTCCCACTTGGTAATTCAATTCTCTTTTCAACGTGCCCGTGAGCAGCGGATGCAGAAGACACGTGCACAACTGTCGACTTTTTCGACTCTACCCCTGTGAGTTTTTACAGACACTGGCACTTTTTTTTACGGTTGAAATCGTGATAACGTGACGGTTGCTCGAGTACTATGAAGACTGAGTTCGTACAGACTGTTACAGCCGCCTTTTTATTAGCGCGGACACACAGCTGTGCATATTATTTTCCACGAGATGAGCCAGAGGATATGGGTATGATGAAGTCATACGTGTATTCGCGGAACAGAGATTTTATTTCACATAGTCATACATCTGATTATACTGAAAAACTAAAAGCTAGCTTGGTACCAATCAACCCATTCTCTCTTATGGGGATACACAGTACCGCGCAGACAGCGCTCACGCAGCTCACGCAGCTCTCGCAAGGCTGCCAATAGCTCACAATTTTGAATGTATAACTACGAACATTCCACCTCCTGCGAAAGAACTCTATCATTGACTGAATATAATGCCATGCATGTAGTATGGAATAGAAATGACAAATATTAGCGTAATAAAATTTGAACTAAGATAAAGATTATAAAACATGGATGATGACGCGAGATGAGACAGAGGATCGCGCGCTGATATATGGTTTCAGACAGAGACATTATTCGCTAGATGCTGACTTGTCACAACGTGACATGTAATAGATATCACAGGAGACGTTTCGACACTTTTTATTAACGTGGACATCTGGATGCGCGTATTAATTTCCACGCTATGTATCGCGGGATCGAGCGCCGATACACGGCTGCTAACAAAGATGGTACGAGATGTGACAAATGATATGGATGCGGCATATATAATTGGCTTGAAAGCTTGCAAAACCACAGTAGGAGATCTACCGGGCAAGCACGCTTGAGAGACCGCAGTTTGAAGTCGAATCAGAAGAGTGACTTGTGAATATCATAGACTACGCCTAAAGTTCCCGCCGATATCCAACTCGAAGATATCGAAGGCGCGATATAAATCAATAATGAACAATCGCCAAGAAATTATGGAAAATGACGAATATTCATCCGAGGATAGCGATAATAATTTTGAAGAAGAAATGGAAGTAGACAATAATTTCGATAGACTATTAGATGAAAGCGATGAAAGCGATGAAGAAGAAGAACATCAACCATTATCCGATGATAGTGACTACACCAGTGACTCGGAGGAATATAAAAAGACAATCAGGAAAATACTGTCTCCTCCCGAAATTCAAGCGTTGAGCGTATCAATGAAAAAGTGTGCAATATACAGTTATTATTCCAATGGTGGTGCATATAAAATATGTAATTGGTGCATGGGCGTAATCAGAGACACCAATCTGATATATAGCAATCGTAAGCACATTACAGCCTATTACGATGACATAAATACAATGATGTTCGGTAACTGTGTGAAATGTGACGCGCAACTGTACATTGTATTCCCATGCAATGTGTCCAATTTGCACACACTAGAAAAAAAACAGTGTATGAGTGAAAAGACGTTAGCGCGACATGGAGCAACGAGAGCAAGATCTGGTGGAGCAATCCAGCCGAGTCACCACCTTGGGTGAATATTTCGCGTGGGTGCAGCGATGCGACGAGTGCGTGCAACAACTCGAAGAGCACGGTCGAGTCAAACGTCCTCGGCTCTCGATCGGACACAAGCAATCTGCGGCGGCGAGCATCGCGCGACTCGTAGGCACAAAGACTTTATTGGAGAGACGCTTTATACACACCGGTGGTAATTATGCGGGTGGCGGTGCGGAGAGACTCGCTTGGCGAGAAATCGATACCGCGTTTAAAAATCGTATTTTGACCGGTGTGGTGATTAACACGGACTATATCGAGCCGCGACAATTTTTGGAAGACGCTTGCGATATAGTGCTCGAGCGAGTGCATGACGTTTTACAAATACGCAACAGCGTAAAAGTGAACACTGTCTTCAACGGTGAATTTGCAGCATGTGAAAAACGCGCGAACAAAAGTATCAACACGCGAAACTGTGGACTCTTTCGTACAACAGATTTGCGCGAGTGGTACGAGCAGCGCGTCATCGAGCCTACCTTAGCGTCCCTTGAAGAGTTTCAGGATCGCGATAGTGGATGGGCGTTATCGCGTATACTCAATTTGACAATTAACGTAAACATGTACAATCCACTGCACGCGGGGTGTTATGTCGAATTACCGCGAGAAATAAAACTGACGAAAGCGGTAGTTAACGTGCAATCTATGGACAATGCGTGTTTCGCGCGGTCAGTGGTGGCTGCTCTGCATCCAGCTGAAAGACACGCAGACCGAGAATCGTCGTATCCCGATTATATAACGGAACTAAACGTGCAAGACATTGAGTTTCCCGTGACGCTTAATCAGATTAAAAAGTTTGAACATTCAAACGATATCTCAATCAACGTATATTGCATTGAGAATAAGGAAATCTTACCGATACAGCTTACCACCCGGAAGAAGGAAAAGCACGTCAATTTGCTATACGTTCAGGGAGACGACGATGTGGGCCATTTTGCGTGGATAAAAAATATGTCCCGCCTCATAAGCACGCAGTTGACTAAGCACAATGGAAAAAAATATTTCTGTGATCGGTATGTATAATTTTTACATAATAATAATTTTTAAATTACATAATAAGTTATGAATAATATAAAAAAATATTTTTCCAGATGCTTGCATTACTTCAGTTCGAGTCAAAGGTTGGAAGCTCACATTGTGGACTGTGGAGAGATGAACGACTGCGCGATCAGATTACCGAGTGAGGACGACAAGTGGCTGACCTTCAAAAATTACAACAGTAAGGAACGTGTACCGTTTGTCGTATACGCCGACTTGGAGTGCACTCTGGAGAAGATGGACAAGGATTCGATAACGTCTACATATGCGTATCAACATCATGAAGTATTTAGCGTCGGATATTACGTGCGTTGCTCGTACGACGATTCATTGTCCACATACCAATCTCGTCGCGATAAAGATTGCATCACGTGGTTCGTCGAGCAACTCAAAGTGTTATCACAACATGTAAAAGAAAAGTTGTCCAATAATGTCCCAATGGAAAAATTGTCGAAGGAACAGTGGAGGGCATACCGTAGCGCGACGCATTGCCACATATGCC